ACGTATGTATATATGCACATGCTTAAATATGTATATAGATTATATATAAAACATGCATAAATATAATATATATACATACATATACATATATGCACATACATGTACATAAACATATGCATATACATATATAGATACATCTGTGCATGTGTGCTAACTATAGCATATTGTTTTATAATTTAGTGCTGCTTCTTCCGCTGCTGCTTGACTTAATCCAACTTGCCCTGGCCCTGGCTTTATGTTTCATGTTGCTTTGCTGTGCTTTTGGTTGTTGATTGGTAAATTGTTGTTGTTACTGATTACTGATTGGATTGGTTTGAATTGGATTTGATTGTTTGATTGTGTTTAGTATCTGCTGTTGTTGAACTGTGAATTAACCGCCGAGCTAACGACCGATGAGGTCGCCTCCTGCACATGCTGATTGCGCAAAAACTCTGTGGTAAACTCGGCCTTGGCCTTGTCCATGCTGGCACCGGTGCTGCGATAGATGCTATGTATCTTCATGATCATCAGGACATTGGCGCCGGCGGTGATGGCGAAACAGAAGGCGATTATCAGCAGCAACAGGCCGACGACAATGCCCCAGGCACTGCTATCAAATTGTGAGATGGCCGTTATAAAGCCGCAGTAGCCCAAATCCTTAAAGCCAATGGCCTGGATGACTGTGTAGACCGTTTGAAAGAAATACACAAAGAAGAAGACCATAAAATTGAAGCTCGAATCGTTGCGGAATGCCTTATAAGCGGGCCGAAACCTTCAAAGCACCAAACAGACCGAGACAACACAAGGAGAGAGCGAAGGAGAGAGAAAGAGAGAGACAGAGAGAAAGAGAGACAATATGATTAGCGATTGAGACGGCGCGACATAGAGCTATATACATACCAGCACACATATGAGGCGGGCGTAAACAGCAGCGTATAGAAGATGGCCAAAAACAGATTGGACAATAAGCCTGCGTGGAACAGCAAGATGAGACCTCCGAGAATATTGGCGACCAGCGTCATGGTGTAGACTGCAAAGAATTACCCAATTAATCAATAGTTGTCATTAAATTCTTGATGAACGACTAAAAAGTGACCAAATGACTGCTTGAGGTAGTTGATGAAAGACTGAGACTTTGACTAACTGAGGGCATTACTGAAAAGAAACTATTGAAAGAAGAAGAGAAGATGAATGACTAAGACTTTGACCGACTAACTCAAGCATTACTGAAATTATTGTAAAGGCTGATTGTCTAATGGATTGACTAAGTAAGAGATCGACTGATACACAGACTGACTCAAGGACTGAGGAACTAGGCTGACTAATAAGTTGACTAAGTGAAAGACTAGCAAATGTTAAAACAAATCAAACTGATTAACAATTAATTAAAAGACTGAATCGCTAACGAGCTAATTGATAGATTGACTAGCGGAAAAACAGATGTTAGACAAACAGAAAATAGTTTTATTGATAAACAGACGAGCTAACTGCATGATTGACTAAGTGAAAGACAAATGCTTAAAAGTAAATCTGATTGACTGGCAATTGATTGAAAGACAAAATCATTTAGCTGATTAAATGTGCTCAATCGAATTGAGAGCCTGACTACTTAGTTGAATACAAACGAATAAACAAAATGAATCAAATGCAAATCAAATGGATCGACAATTGATTGAAAGACTAAAACGCCTATGAACTAATCGACGGAAAATTCAGAGCGCAGCTGATTGATTGACTCATTATAAGAGTGAGTTACGGAGAAATTGACTAAACGGCATGCAAACAGACTTTCAGAGTGATTGATTGACTAATTGGCTGACTGCGTGCAAGGGAGAATGAATCATATAGTGATTGACCAAATGGAATAAAAACTGATGCGCTAACTCAGAAGATTGCCAAACTCATATATCTCTAAAGAACTGCTTGACTAAATGGAATATAAATGGTTAAATTGACAAAATAAGGGGCAGACAAACATACCAAATATTCAGCCAACAATCTAGACTTTCAATTCATCAATAGGAATTGCTTATCTTCTACTCAATTGCAAATATATAATCTAAAAATATATATATCTATCTATACTATATACATTTGGAACCCTTGTTTTATCTTTCACTCTTCGAATCGTATAGATCACAGCTGAGAAATCCTTTAAATATAAATAGATAAGCTTGTTTGCCTAATGATAAGCTCAAAGCCAACGACATCATCTATGTACATAAAGAACTATATAGTTGCTATTTTAAGGCTCTTTGTTTGGCAGTCATACGGATGCCTGTCGCGGTGGCTGTCGGCATTTGCGAAATGGACTAATAATCGACGTTTATTAGCTTATGGCATGAGTAATGCGATTCGACTCTTATCAGCCTTGGGTGTCTCAATTGAAAACAATAAACTGCGACGATAATAAACGAAATGCTTACAAATCCAGATGTAGTACAAATGCTTGACCAGCTTTTGAAATTCGGGCGGTATTTCCACCTCAATGTCCTGATAGAAGCACGCCTTCACGCAGAAGTTATCCGGCAGGGGAGGCCAGTTATTCAGCTGTGGGACGTTGCCCTGCAGCTGCTGTTCACGGCGATCTAGTTCGGCAGCCTTGCGATCGAGTTCCTCCTGACGGCGCTGTAAATTGAGAAAACGATCAGCTATCTGTAACGCGGTCTATCTACATGTGTGTGAGTGTGTATGTGTGGATGTCTATTGAATGAAAAACAAACAAATAAACACACACACAAACAGAGATAGCTGAGCACAACTGCAGCCACAGCAATGCAGCGACAATAACAACAATTGTTGTAATGCGAGTCGCCTGGTAACTGGAGCACACAACTGGCTAGAATTCATTATCATTTAACCTGCAGCTCCTCGGATGTGATTTGTATGCTGGTGCTGGGTGTTGTGCCGCTGGCCAGACGCGGCTGCGGTGCCGGAATGTTCTGTGAAAGGGGCTGCACAACGGCCGCCGTGTTGGTGGAGTTGATTTGCAGCTGGGGCTTCGCCTGTTCCTCGAACGGATTGTAGTCCTCCAGTGAGACATTGGTGGACATGCGTGTTGCCTGCTGTATGGCGGGATCCTAAAATCAATCAAATGCAAAAAAAAATGCATATGTATATCAAGTAAAGTAAAACATACACATCAAAGCAACTGCTGAGCACAGCGTAGGCGGAACACAGTCACATAAACACACACACACACACACACACATAGACATTGGCCTATGAGCTGTCGTCGTTGCACCTACACACACGTATACAAATATGTGTGCCTGTGTGTGTGTGTGGTTTTCGTGCACAGCATTTTTGTTGTCAGGCTTACCGCAAATGGGTTATCCAGATTGGGCTCGCCAAATGGATTTTCATCAAAACCGTTGCCGGACATTTTGTCGTTCTGTTTGCTGCTAGTGCTGTTGCTTAAAGTTGGTGTGCTAAATTTTGGGCAAACGGTTTTTGCGACTTTTTCGCCTGGTCTATCGGTTTCTTTCCTTTTTTTTACTTTTGAGTGACGATTTTACGGAATTCGATGTGACCAGTTGCGCGATGTTTCGTGTATGAGCAGAAATGGCTAATAGTGTGTGACCGCGTGCGGCAAGTGGTTGAGTAGGTATGCAGTATTAAATATACTAACAAGAGTCACACTATCGATCAGTTTCATATCGATATACTGCACGAATTAACCAACACAGAATTCTAGTTTCTAACGTCACATCTTTGGCTGACAGACTTAACAATTATCGATATATACAGTAATCAAAAAAACAAATTCAAATATCATTTAACGTAAGAAACTTTTATTCATTAAAAGTACAGCTTAACACATGCGCAAGCATTTAATGTACTTGGAAGACAAATTAACGCGTAGCAGCGCATTTGTAAAGTTATACTCATTACATTCATATACATATACAAAAAAGTTGATGCTTACACAATATTATTATCATTATTATTGTAATTATTACACATAATTATAAGCTACATGTACGTTACATGCTACAATAAATTAAATCTTTATTGTTCTGTCTTTATAGATTTGCTGTAAGTACTTTTCTTCTCATTGCATTTTCCATTATTATTTTGTTTCACTTAATTTTTGCTCTGTTTTCATTCTTTGCGAAATTTACGCACCAAATACTTTCGACGCATATTGACTGAAGACCCACGAWTTCTATACAAAATAGATAGAAGCTACACACTAGATTTATGTAAATATTATTAAAAAAAAAAAAGATTGTAAATATGTTTATTCGAAGTGCATTACACACATACATATATATGTACATATATGCGCATATGGAGACAATGGAGACTGACAAATTCGAAGTAAAATTTCTATAGCTCTGTCTCTTTCTCTTCCCAAAACGTTTCAAATGTTTGATTTAAGTTTTTAAGCTTTTGTTGTTTGCATTTTGTAATTTGTTGTTGGTTGTTGTTTGCTTGTTTTGTTTACTGCTTTCATTCGCATATTCGTTGTGCATTTCGTTAGCCAAGTTAATAATTATAGGGTCCGTATTGGGAGCCATGATAGTAGGGACCCGGATAGATCTGCGGCTGGGCGTAGTTTGCGTAGGGCGGATAGGGTGGCTGCTTCTGCGAGTAAACTGAAATGGAAACGGAAATGGATGCAGTTTAGAGTGGACGCTTTCACCTTTGCTTCACTTGCGTCACTCACCTGGCATCAGGTACTGCAGATTGAGCTGCTCCTCCTTCTCGCGCTCGTTGCGCAGACATATGGCAGCGCCCGATAGCAGGATGGCAGCCAGCAGACAGGTGGCAATGCCTGTCCAGGCCACAATGTAGGACCAATCGTAGACAATCTTCGTGTTATCGCGCAGCACCTGCAGTCCATAATAAATGTTGCCATGAAAAACCATCCAAATAGTTCAGGCGTAGCTCTCTGCACTCACCGTATTCCACTGCTGGTAGTAATCCTCTCCAACGACTTTCTCCTTCTCAAAGAACTCGACCGTGTGCCAAATACCCATGGCGCCAGCGGCCAGCAAACAGGTGACCAGCAACAGGATCGATGTGGCGGTTATGGCGCCCGACGAACGCTTCCAGCAGCCGGATAGGCCCGTCCAGAAGGCACAGAAGATGGTCACAAAGCTAATGATGAAGAGCGCAATGCAGGAGCGGGCCAAATGCAACCGGGACGTGGCATCCTCATTGGATATCTTATCATCCTCCACTTGCGGGAAGTAATCTATGTTCGAGCAGTGCGTCTCAATGGGGGACAGATAAGTAGGCACTGAATGGAATGAAATGGAAATCCAACTCAGTTTAGCATTTATTTCTAGCTTAAGCTGTTGCTATTTATGGATCTTACCTGCCGTTACCGGCGGACGCTCCTTGGGATAACATATTCTGAACAGGCCGCGAGTTCTCGTATAATAATAATATTTCACATTCAAGTTATGCAGCAGCGACTCCGCATCCGAATGCTTGGCGGCAAAGGCCTGAAAAGAAGAAGGAATCTCAATTAATAACAAGTTAAGGAAGGATCTTGTTGAGTGAGTGTTTATAAAGGAATGTTGAGCTATAGACTATTATTATTATGCATATATATTAAATATATGAACTATTATTATATTATTGTATGCACTATATGCATTATATGCACACATTATATTATATATATTATGTTATGTATATGTATTCCTTTATGGAACACCATCATCATCCAATCTTATTGGTAATTGTAATTTGAAATTTCCGATTGATATTGTATGAAAGTTTATTTAAAGATAGCATAGACAGATAGATAGATCTATAGAAACATGTTAGATGGATTGATAGATAGACAGATGGGTGAACTTATATATAGAGTGATGAATAATTAGGATAGAAAATATAAATAGATGTATAAAGAGACGACAGATAGTTGGATAGATGGACAGGCAGACAGATGAATAGAAAACATCGATAGATAGACAGCAAGATAGATGAATAGGTAGATGGATATCATAAGCAAATAGATCGATAAATAGGCAGATAGATGGATCAATAGATAGATGGACAACTTAATAGAAAGATCGATATGTAGATAGCAAGATAGATGAACACAAAGATATATAGATCGATAGAATGACAGATTATAGATAGATAAATCGATAGATAGATACATCGACAGGTTATAGATGAATCGATAGATAGATAGACAAATAGATAGATAAATATATCGATAGACAGCTTTACAAATATATAGATAGATAGATAGATCAAGGTCAGATAAATCGAAAGATAGATAGATAGTTATATCTATCCACGAGAATACAATACAACACAATAGCAATGTATCTGTATATGTGCAAATACGAGTGTACAATGTCAGAAGAACAAGTGGTATAACAATCTTAGTATTAGCTTCCACAAAACCCTAAATACTTGGATCCAGGTAAACAAGTTTTCAATTAAACGATAACTGTACTCAAACCCTAGGAATCGATAATTAATCGTAAACCCCAAATTTCTATTTACTTCTCATAAGATTCTATAGTTCAACAAATCATAGCAAATCGAAAAATATTCCAAGCATTAGCACATCTATTGGAATGCAGGCCGGCAGTATTATAAACCTTATTTGAAGAGCCTTGAATCTACAATGATCCAAACAATTGATCAAAGCTTCCACATCAAATAAAGCGTCGAGCGACAACAAATCAAAATAACCAGACAAAGGCCTTAAAATGCAAATCCAAGCCAGAAATGTTGGAGCGAGTCTACGCGCAACCGCTCCGAGAACCAGTTCCAGTGTGGGCGTTCTGAACAAAGCGAGGAACACGAGTTACAAATCAAAATGATTCCGCTTATGATTTTTGTAGCTCAATCTGAAATCAGTTTTGATTGCTGCCATTGCTCGATCATCATCCGGTCATCTTTCGCTTCGTATTGAAATAAGACGCGGATGTACATAAATATAGCTACATGTCTAGATGTACCTATGCTCGCTCGTTTGTACATATATTGAGATCTGACAATGGGCGTTCAGCGAGCTGCGTGTTTTGTATTTGCCTTTCCATACATACGTATTTATCGGATCAAGTGCCGTTGCTATTGCTGTTGCCGTTGAACACGTTCCGCAGTTCCCATACGTCATTTCGAGCGATTCATTGCGAATTGTGAATTGTGGAAAGAAAAAAAGTCTCGAGTCTTACAATTGAAGGTCTTCCATTGTCAATCCGACTGTTGGCTCTGCTAATCATTAGTCGAGGTCAAATCAGCGCCAGATGCAGAGGGCTATAGGCACAGTTAGTACTAATAGATAAACTCGAGAGTATGCCAGCAAGAGTATCAGAATGGGCTTAAACTTCTAAGAAGTGCACGAAAAATCTTCAACAAAATGAGCCGATACTAATTCAAATGAACTGAATTGTACAAACAATAACAGCTACTATTGTAATTTGTAAAAGCCTAGACTAGATTAGATCTAACTTACACTTAATCTACAAAGTTTCGAATCCCCAACTAGTTCTGGCTACGAACTAAACACCTTTATATAGCTTAACTAGTAGATAAACTCTGGAGAGCGCAAAAATGAGTATCTAAATAAAGAAAAGATTCTCTAAACTATTCAAAACTGAACTGAAATGAACTCCAATGAACCTTTCATAGCAGATATTGTTCTATGCACAAATCTAGCTTAGATTAAACCGTTAAAGATATAAAGCTCTTACAGTTACATCGTAAGTTTCATTCTAACAACAAAGTGAGGAACTGGATTCACTCATATACACTCATGGTCAAATTAATAGGTGTGAAATTTTTTTTTTTTTTTAAATGAGAATAACGTCTATATTTTTTTTATGTAACTAAAAAATTTAATTTATATTAAAAAATAGACACATTATAGAATAACAACAACAAAAAACAAGTTTAAAAANCCCAGCAAATTAAAAAAAAAAAAGTTAAAAATTCTGAAATATTGTAGAATATTTAGAATATATTTGGATAAGTATGGTTAATACCCTGTATATCCGCTTTTATTCGCAATGACTTTGCTGATTCTTTGGGGCATAGACGATATTAACCTTCTACACCTTTCCACAGGAATGGTGCTCCATTCCTCCTGAGTATTTTCCAATAATTGGGTGTAATTGAAGCAGGTAGTCTTGAAAATTAGCCTTTTCAAGTGTCCCCAAAGGTTCTCAGTTGGATTGAGATCTGGAGACTGACTTGGCCACTCATAAACTTCAATTATATTTTCATGAAACCAATCCTTAACTACTGGAGAGTCCTATTTAGAATCGTTATCCTGTTGGAATTTCTATTTTAGAGGTATGTTGTCGTGGGCATATGGTAGCATAAAACACTACTCAATAGTTCCTTTTACAGAAATCTGTTTATTATGAAAATGGTCGATGGTGCATTTCAAAACCATGCCATGAAAAGCAGTCTCAAACCATTATGCCACCTCCTCCGTGCTTAACCGCCTTTTTTTTGTATATCTAGGATCCAATTCTTTGCCTTTAGGTCTTCGAACATTTATATTTGAGTCATTCTCAAAGAAATTTTTGTTTGTTTCATCACTCCAGAGAATGTTCCTCCATTTACGCTCTCCCTCTAAACCACACCAGGCCTTGTGAGTTTGAGCAAAATTAAGCCTCATCCGAATATTTGATTTACGCAATAGAGAAACCCTGCGAGCAACTCTCCCAGGTAGATTCGAGCTTAATAGAAGTCGACGAATAGTTCGTGCCGATACAACATTGCTCATTTCGATGGCAATCGCTCTCGAAGACTTAAAAGGATCCCTTTTAGCCAAGGTGACTATCCGGGAATCCTCTCTTACGGTGGTTTTCCTCCGGGCACCCGGCTTCTTTTTATCTTTTTTTGGTTTTAGAGCATTTGTAACGAAGTTTTCCGATCGTCCCATTAGTGAGGCAATGCATTTATAAGTTTTACCCTTTTCACGAAGCTTGAGAACAAGATTTCTCTCTTCAGCACTGCAGTGAACTCCACGACCCATCTAATTTTATTTAAATGTTGCAAATGAAAATTTTGATGCTTCAATCAAATTATATTCAATAAAAATACTACCTTTGCTTACTCAAAAAGTCTTTAATATTTTAATAATTTTTTGTTAAGTTAAACACACCTATTAATGTGTCCAGGTCAATTTTGAGGTAGAGAATGTATAACAGCCAAAACTTTTTAGCGAGTAAATTTTTTTGGAAGATTTACCTATTTCCTTTTCAAATAGTGTGGCCATACCTAACAAAAAAAATTTCGTGCTGATAGATGTTGTCAAACCGTAATTATTCTAAAATATGCTAGAATCTTTGGGTCACACCTATTAATTTGACCATGACTGTATATAAGTGGTTTCAACTGTGAACCTCTGACCTTGAGTATTAGAAGTCAATCGTGATAGATATTGAAAGCATATCTCTCCTTCTCTTTCTCTCTATCTCCCTCTCCCTCTCTTTCTCTCTCTCTCTCTTTTCTCCCCTCTATCTTTCTCTCTCTCTTTCTCTTAAGTTTCATAATATTACTATATTAACTAACAAAAAACTAGTTCCACCTGTGAACGAATCATAATTACTAATGATAGTAAAAATTAGAACTAAATGCAAATAAAACTAGTTCCGACTCATAGTCAATTACAGTGAACAATGATGGCTTCATAAAACTAAAGACCTCTAGGATATATCTCTGTTTCTCTCTGTCAATATATCAGATTAACAACTTAAGCTAGTTCCGGCTGTGTACCAATCACGAATAATGAATGCAGAATTACCAAATCGTGATAGATCTTTAAAGTCTTTCTCTGTCCTACTTAAGTATCACAAAGTTTCAATATAATATAATTACAAAACAAAAACTAGTTCCAGCTGCGAACCGAACATAATTAGGGATGATTGCTCAATAAAGTTGTAGTAGAACCAAATCTTGGTAGATCTATGAGGTATTTCCTCTCTCTCTCTCTCTCTCTCTCTCTCTCTCTCTCTCTCACTCTCTATATCTCACTCTCTCCCTCTCTCTCTCTCTCTCACACTCTCATTCTCACTCTTTCTCCCTCTATCACTCTTTTTGAGGCCAATTAGGGATAAGCCGCAAGCTATAATCCATTAGCTTTTCCCCACTTTCGATGCGACCTTCGAGCTTTCCTCGACTCGCCGCTATTCGACTTGCCCACTTGGGCGTAACTAAACAATTAGCTTGGCCAGTTATGTGTGCATGTATATGTGCATGTATCTGTGTGCTGTCTATGTGGCTATGCCCAATTGATGCTCTCGTTCGGCGGCAGTCCAAGCTCTGCGGCCTGGTGCACACCACTGATTTCTCGAGGCGCTTTACACCTGAATGAATTCTCTAATGCAAGCCCAGCCACGCCCACCGCCCACCCATTTGGAGCAAGCTTAGCTCGCATATGATATAAATTAAACGACTCGAAAACCTGTGACAGACATGGGGACGGGGAAGGGGAGGGGCGGTGCCACAGTAGCCCTTAATTGCA